ACACACACACACACACACACACACATACACACATACACACCCCAAAACACGTATAAAAGGAAATACAGGATTAAAAAAATACCTTGAGGGTCAGCAAGGTGGCTTAGTGGATATAGGCACTTCAAGACAAGCCTGATGGCCTAAATTCAATCCCTGGTAGCTACTTGGTGAAAGGAAAGAACCAAGTCCCAAAAGTTCTCCTCTGACCACACCTATGCTGTGGCATGCATATACCCACACATATAAACACAGATGCATAAACACAAATAAATAAATGTAATTTTTTTTTGTTCTTAAAAAAAAGATCAATGGGCATGGTAGTGCACGCCTTTAATCTCAGTACTCAGGAAGCAGAGGCAGGCAGATCTCTGTTAGTTCAAGACCAGCCTGGTCTACATAGCGAGTTCCAGGCCAACTGGGGCTATAGGGAGACCCTGTCTCAAAAAGACAAAAAAAAAGCTGGGTGTGGTAGCACAGGCCTTTAATCCCAGCACTCGGGAGACAGAAGCAGGTGGATCTCTGTGAGTTCAAGGCCAGCCTGGTCTACATAGCCAACTGGGGCTATAGGGAGACCCTGTCTCAAAAAAAGACCAAAAAAAAAAAATCTTGACTAGGCTTAGTTGTGTGCATACATAGCTCCAATGCTTGGAAGGCTAAGGCAGAAGGAATACTTGAACCTTGGAATTTAAGATCATTATGGGCAACTGTGCTTGCTGGGCAACTGTTCTACCACTTAGCTTTATCCCCAGGGAGATCTTGTCTCAAAAAAGAGGGGTGGGAAGTTGAAGAGATGGCTCAGCAATTAAGAGCACTGGCTGCTCTTGCAGAGGACTTAGGTTCAGTTCCTAGCACCCATATGGCAGCTAACAAACGTCCTTAACTCCAGTTCCGGGTATCCGAGGCCCTCTTGGGCCTCTGTGGGCACTGCATGCATATGGTAAACTTATATTCATGCAGGTAAAAAATTAATACACACAAAAAAATAAACAACTATTGCATGACACAATTACACAACATGTGTGCACTTATATACGTGCAGGCAGTACATTCATACATGTGAAAAAATAAATAATAAATATTTAAAAAGGGAAATCTTAAGAGTAAAGAAAGCCTTTCTACACATAACAAAGAAAAGCAGACTACATAAGAAGTAGACTACGGGGGTGCAGTGTTGGGGATCAAACCCATTGCCTTGTGCTTGCTGGGCAACTGCTCTACCACTTAGCTTTATCCCCAGGCAAAGATGACAAACTTGATAATGAAAATTTAAACTTTTGATGGGCATGGTGGTACATGCCTTTAATCCCAGCACTCTAAGAGGCAGAGGCAGGCAGATCTCTGTGAGTTCAAGGCTAGCCTGGTCTACACAGTGAGTTCCAAATCAGCCAGGATTACATAATGAGACCCTATCTTAAAAAGAAGCCAGGCATGGTGCACACACCTTTAATCCCAGCAACTCTAGAGGTGGAGGCAGATAGATCTCTTCGAGTTTAAGGCCAGCGTGGTCTACATAGTGAGTTTCAGGCCAGCTGGGGCTACAGGGAGACCCTGCCTCAAAAGGTAAAAAAAAAAAAAACCCAAAACAAAACAAACAAACAAAAAACCAAACTTCTGATGACAAAAATAAACCACCAATGAAACAAAATTAAACCATCAATTAAAAAACAAATAGTGAAAAAACTCATAGAAGCTAGGATTGGTGGTGCATGTCTATAATCTCCGCATTTAGTAGACTGAGGCAGGAGGATCCTGAGTCCTAGGATACACTGTGAGTGCAAGGCCTGCCTGGGTTATATAACGAGACCTTGTTTATATCAATCCCTATACCCTTGGCCTCCTACCCCCCCCAAAAAAGATGAAAAGAAAAAAAAAAAGAGAACAATTCAACCCAACCCCCAAAACAAACAAAAATGCATTCAGAGATAAAAGTTGAAACAATTTAAAGAAAGTTATGAAAGGCTAGTACAAACATGAAAAGATAGTAGATATGACTGAAAAATGCATATTAAGAACAACCTAACCCTCAGTGCTGAGGCAGGACAAATCGCTAGTGGCCCAGCAGCAGCACTCAACCACTTGCTCTCTATCTCTACTTCGTGCCTTCTTTCATGCTAACAGAAAGAAGGCTTTTCACATCTTAACAACCCCTCCAGCATGGGAAGTGGTGTAACCAGAGGAAGAAGCAAAAACCCACAAGAAAGAAGGCTCTAAGCCAGTGGGTTTTAATAAAATCTAACCAATTTCTTTAATGGTTTTCTGTACTAGGTTGGCTCAAATCAAAGAGCACTATAAAGAGCCTTCCTTATCTAGAATTGTTATTCAATATGCAGCCACTAGCCACAGTGACTACTAAAATTTTAAATTAAAATACATTACAAATTGGGGGGCTGGAGAGATAGCTCAGTGGTTAAGAAAAATTGTTCTTTATACAAAGGACCCCAGGGTTAGTTCCCAGTACCTATATGGCAGCTCACAACTGTTTGTAACTCCAGTTCCAGGAGTACCTATGTCCTCTCCTGGCCTCTGCATGCATATATGCAGGCAAACACCCATACACATAAAATAAATGTCTCTTTTAAATTGGTTCCTTAGTTTCATTAGCCACATACATAGCAAGTGCTCACTAGTTTCATGTGGCTTGTTGGTACTGCACTAAACAACACAGATATAATCAACTCTCCCAAGCTAGATAAGCTAGATAGAGGTACTATCTGGAGCCTTTGGAAAGAAATGCTCTCCATGAATGATAAATAGTAAATCATACCCCTCATTGGGGACTTAACAACAGTTCAAAAGGAGCCAATCTTTCTCCATAAAATACCAGAAGTCCCCTCAGATGTCCCTACTGCAGTACTGGAAAGCAATCAAGCTCAGAGATTAAATTATCCTTGTCTTGGCTATGAGACATTCAAACACCCTAAACTTTTTCAAAGTCAGATCAAGATCAGAAACCAGGACTTTCCAGAGTCAATAAGACCTAAGCTGCTACCATCACACTAACAGACATTTTAGGTCAGTGCTTCAAAAAGAGATCTAACATCATGGCCCACTATCCCAACCATTATCCTACTATTAAGGTTCTCAGAAGGAAACAGGTCCTGAGTTACAGTCTTCCTCTCTGTCCTCCTAAGAGGGAGAATGGTCTAACAGAGAACATCCACCCATGAGAATGGATACCTGGTACAGACAAAGGTGAAAGTCACTACTTCTTTTACCTTTCTGTAGATTCTAATTCTACAAGGGTCCACATTTAGAAAGACAATATCTTATTCCCTGTAAAAAGTAAACAAAGTCCACAATGACACTCTATAAATTCTTGAGACATGAAATACATGAAACTAGAGCTGCCTAGCACAGAGTAGTTTAAACTTGTTTTTTGATACCAACTTACTCAAGCCTTCAACTCTATACATAGTACACAACAGTGAAATGCCATGGTTCCTGAAAACAGCTCCATAAATACAGAACATAAAGCTTTCAAAACATTGACACCAGCATTCTGTAGCTCAGGGCTTCAGAAGGCCATTCCAGCCTGACCACCTTAAATATTTGTGGTTTCAATCTGGCAGCTTCTCCAAAACCAAACACATATACTTTCACAGTTTAAGTTCACTCACTGAAAATGCACACCACTCTGGGAACAAGGAATTCAGGAGACCATAACTGCATAATTAAGTTCCAACACAACTGAGCTTTTGATTCCAAATCTACTGAAAACTCTCTGGTGCTTCAAATTTGGTCATCCCTACAAAACCCAGTGAGGTCAGAAACTAAAAAATATCAATGATGAAGTGGCAACTAACTTAACTTCCTTACTTCTGACAGGACATGGGCTGAGAGCTGGGGACAGAGCTCAGCTCTCCCTTCCTCCAGGCTTACCTAGCCTGGAGCCAACACAGGAGCAGCAGGACCCTAGCTCTGCAGACCATAGTTTCCACAGTGTCTCACAAGGCAACCTCATTCGGCCTTGCAGGCTTGTGAATGGATCTTTTTAAAAGGAAAGCAGCAGTCATCTATCTCCTCTGGAGCTAGCTTCAAAGTGAGTTAAAGCACCGGCTATAGAAAGCTCTCAGAATAAAGAATGGAGGTACTAGGGCACTGTGGCAAGATTCTTAAAGTAAGAAGACTTTCTTGTGGCCATGTTGCTTACCCATTCAAATACACAAAAGAAAGGAGGAAAAGAATAAGAGAGAGAAGCAGAGCGGGGTAAAAAAATACTGAAAGATACCAGGCGTGGTGGTGCAGACCTTTAACCCCAGCACTTGGGAGGCAGAGGCAGGTGATCTCTGTGAGATCGAGGCCAGCCTGGTCCACATAGTGAATTCCAGGCCAGTTGGGGATGCTGTCTAAAAAACAAACAAACGAACAAAAACCTGAAAGGCACATTTGGGTATACAGAGGCCACACACAAAACACACAGGGTCCTAAATACTCCACAACAGAGAACAAAACAGTTACATTTTTCTCCCCTGAGAATTTCTACCTTGGTTTTTCACAAAACGATATCTAAAATACAATGGAGAAAAGTGCTGTAACATTACTCTCAACTCCCTAAGGTAAGATTCAGTATACAAACTGAAAAGCTCCATGTTTTTCATTTCAAAGGATATGAAGTATTTTTTGTTTTGTTTTGTTTCATTCTTTTTGAGATAGGGTCTCCCTGCAGCCCCAGCTATCCTGGAACTCACTATGTAGACCAGGTTGGCCTTGAACTCACAGAGATCCACCTGCCTCTGCCTCCCAAGTGCTGGGACTAAAGGCGTGTGCTATCACGCCTGGCTGCAAAGTATTTTAAAACTGATGGACTTGATATAGCTTTCTATGACCTGGACATATCATCAAGAACCTTCCAACTTGGCCCTTAATTTAGACAAAAATTAGGGCTGCTCTACAAGGGATAGTAATGGCACTATGTCACAATTGTATTCTGACTACTCTTTAATGACCACATCTGGCATTACTGGTTGTCTAGAAGCCATGACTCTGAGTAGGGCTGGAGCCCTCAACTCCTCCCTTAGTAAAATGACAGATCACACAGTAGCAAAATAAAACATCAGCAGTTGAAATGACTTTTTTTTTGTTTGTTTGTTTGTTTGTTTTTTTGAGACAGGGTCTCCCTGTAGCCCCAGCTGGCCTGGAACTTACTATGTAGACCAGGCTGGCCTTGAACTCACAGAGATCCGCCTGCCTCTGGCTCCCAAGTGCTGGGGTTAAAGGCGTGCGCCACCACGCCAGGCCTTGAAATGACTTCTAATTCTAAAACCAGAAGTAAAGTTCAACTGGTAGGCCAAGACAAGGTCATGAAAATCCTCTCCTTTAAGCCCAATCAATCCCATTCCCCAGACAGTAACCCTACAGGGATCATGACAGAGGTAGTTTCTTGAGCTTGAGGTGTTCTGAGGACTTCAGCATATATGAACACAACTACTGATTAGAAGGCAACTTACCGCCTCTCCCCATTGTACTCAAACTTGATTCTGACGTCACTCTGCCAAAAGGAATAACAGAGAAGTTAGAGTGTTCTCTGAAGTTTCCAGTAAGCATGGGTAGTCCTCTAGGCATTAGGCAAACATTACCATTAATTAAACACCTAATGGCTCCTGCTCCAGTTTCTCCACTCAGAAAGACCATTATTTTCTAATGTGTCACAATTTCCAGTTCTAATAGCAGAGGCAACAAAACTCTTGTAACAAGATTTCTTCTAAGTGGTCACTCCAACTTGATTGCTATGTCCTCACATAATAGCTCTAGATTTCTACAACTAACCCTGGAATTTCTTTACCATATCACCTCCTGATATTTCCTTCTCAGCTGATGGGACTAAACAGAAAAAAGAAATCTTCCTGCTGCTTTCTAGCTATAGACTAAAGTAAGTTACTTATCCTCCACGTGTCTCCATTTTCACATCTGCAGAATGGAGCTAAACATATCATATAGAGTTGCTATAAACACTAAATGAGATAGACTGGGCATGGTGGTGCATGCTTGTAGTTCCAGCACTTGGGAGGCAGAGGCAGGCAGAGCTCTGTGAATTCAAGGCCAGTCTGGTCTACATAGTGAGTTCCAGGCCAGCTGGGGCTACAGGAAGACCCTGTCTCAAAAAGACCAAAAAAAAAAAAAAAAAAAAAAACCAAAAAAACCCAAACTAAACCAAAACAAAAAACTAAATGAGATAATGTTAGTAAAATATCTGACCTGCATGCAATAAATGATTTTTGCTTCTATGGCTGCTGTTGTTACTTTTATCATTGACTTTACACAATCCTCCAAAGGTTACCCCAGCTGGGGTAAAGAAGGAACTTGACAAATAATCCTAAACATTGTCTCTATTTTATCAAAAGTGAACATCCTAGGTAGCCTATAAACTTTGGAAGGGCGAAGATCATGTTTATCTAGTTTCTGTATCCCCAGTGCCAAGCAAGGAAACAGCACAATATATTTGTGCTTAATAACATTTGTTAAATGGAGGAATGAATTTAAAGCCCAAACAGTGTAAATATCAGCAAGAAAAAGTAAGCTGGCTATTTACAAACAACTTGAAGGAGTCTGAAAATGACAAGAAAAGGAAAGAGACGTTATAGAAGAAAACATCAGGCATAGAGGAAAAGATTGTCAGGAAATCAGTAAATAATAGATGAAGGAAAGAAATAGCTCATAGTCAAAGAATAAAAATTATACTGAGAAAGACAAATTTAATAAACTATGGTTTAGAAGAAAGAAGAGGGCTTCAGGTATCTAAAGAAAAGGAAAACAGAAGTCAGACAACATGGCAGAAAAGGAAGTTTGAAAGGTAGGAAGTATACATAAAGAATTTCCTTTTCCCAAGGGATTAAGAGATTAGAATTCCCTTCTAACACACTGAATTGGAACATTGGTCCTAATATATACTATGAAATTACTGAGGCTCCCAAAGAGATTTCATATGTGAAATTACATCATAAAAAAATATTTTTGAGCTAAAGGCTACATAACAAGCAACAATGCCAGATAGGAGATACCTTCTTTTGAGTTGTTGGCCAGAGTGGCCAAAGGGACTCCCAGATAGTATAACCCAGCACAGAACTGGGAAAATGAACAGTAAACCCCAATCTTATCTAAAGGAATATTGACAACTGATTGCTGCTAGATGAGGAACAGCTGACCCTTCTAAAACAAAGACCTCCATATAAGCTGACTAGATTCACCAGAAGGGCAAGTAGTGGGGAATGGCTGCAGTGCTGGCAACACAGCAGTCAGTAGCAGGGATATCAGAGAATAAGGGCTCTAGTGGGGGGAGGGAGGCTATGGGAGGGTGCCATCTGGGAAGTGGGTGTATAGTTGAATAAGATGGTTTGGTACACACACACACACACACACACACACACACACACACACACACACACACACATGGTTTGGGATGTTCTGTGTGATACTCACACACACACACACACACACAAATCAACAAATTTAAAAAGTGTATATTTGAGGAAAAAGCATGGAAATTTATGACATGCTAATTAGTAGAGGTGATAAACATTACCACTGAAATCTACCCAGTGACTTTATAGACATACATAGGCGCCAAGGACCAAGTGCAACTGATTATGACTAGTAATAATCAGTTACATACATATTAGAGATGCATGCACCAACATCTCAGTGTTAGTAGCAAAAACAAAGAGTCTTTCTGCAAGGAACAATATATTCTAAAATGAAATGGAGATCTTTTTTAAAGGTTAAAAACTCATTCAATTTTGTCTTACAGGGCTTATACTGAGTTCAATATTGTATAACTGTATTAACTCAACTGTGAACCTAGAAACTTGCACCCACTTGTGAAAGAGATGTACTCTTGCTCTGGAGTGTGTTACTGAATATGTTAAAGCTGTAGTGAAATGCTTCTTCTAATCATGTAGTTATTAAAAATTTTTTTAAATGCTTAAGAAAAATTATGTTGGGGTTGGGCGTGGTGGCACAAGCCTTTAATCCCAGCACTAGGGAGGCAGAGGCAGGCAGAGCTCTGTGAGTTCGAGGCCAGCCTGGTCTCCATAGTGAATCCAGGACAGCTGGGGCTACAGGAAGACCCTGTCTCAAAAAGACCAAAAAAATATTAATAATAATAATAATAATAATATTTTTATTATTTAAAAAATAGCAGTTTAGCCGGGCGTGGTGGTACACGCCTTTAATCCCAGCACTCGGGGAGGCAGAGGCAGGCAGAGCTCTGTAAATTCAAGGCCAGCCTGGTCTACATAGTGAGTTCCAGGACAGCTGGAGCTACAGGGAAACCCTGTCTCAAAAAGGCCACCCCCCCAAAATGAAGCAGTTCAGCCGGGAGTGGTGGGCGCATACCTTTAATCCCAGTACTAGGGAGGCAGAGGCAGGTGGATCTCTATGAGTTCAAGGCCAGCCTGGTCCACATAATGAGTTCTAGGACAGCTGGGGCTATAGGAAGACCCCGAAAAAAACCAAAAAAAAAAAAAAAAAGTTCTTCTTAAACTAGAACACATTTTCAGATGTACCTATATGTCCTCAGTCCCTCTACAAGACTGAAGGAACTAAATCTATTTCATGATGGGCCATAACTCAAGCACTGCTCTACACTTAGAAAGGGAATCAAATCTTTGTGTTTACCCCAAATCACTCCTACTGAAACATAACCAAGTCCATGACATACAACTGTATGTAAGAAGATGTCTTTTCTGCCGGGCATGGTGGTATACTCCTTTGATCTCAACACTCAGGAGGCAAAGGCAGGCAGATCTCTGTGAGTCTGAGGTCAGCCTGGTCTACACAGAGAGTTCCAGGTCAGCCATAATGAAATTCTGTCTCAAAGAAAAAAAAAACTTAAGCCAAGCTTGGTGGTACACACCTTTAATCCCAGCACTCGGGAGGCAGAGGGAAGTGGATCTCAGTGAGTTCAAGGCCAGCCTGGTCTACATAATGGGTTCCAGGCCAGCTGGGGCTGCAGGGAGACCCTGTCTTTCAAAAAAAGAGCTTTTCTGATGTCATGGTATGCTCGAGTCTACCAAATTCCCAAATAATAAGCCATGAATAAGGAAGGTCCAGATAAAAGTGACTGTATTCAACTCCTTGATCATTCTCCTTGATTTCTCTGAGGCATTTCCTAGTGGTGGCCAAGTCTCCTCTGACTCCTGTAACTTTGTCTCAGCCAGGGAACCTGCCAGCATTCTAACCACTTCTGCTTCTTAGCTGGTTCCTCATCTTCATGGCCTCTCCCCTAACCTTCCCCCAGTATGTGACCACACAGGCTTTTGACTTGTGGCTTTCTGCTCTTCTCAATACCTCCCCCTCTTCAGTCAACCTCTAAATAGAAGATTCTCAAATCTCTGTGTGTACCCAGATCTATAAACAAAGCTTCATCTGGCCACCATGATTTGAAGCAGATATGTAGTTAAGAATGTAGCACTGGGGGGCCAGTGAGATGGTTCAGAGGGTAAAGGCACTTGCCACTAAGGCTAAGGGATCCAAGTTTGATCTCTAGGACTTACATGGTAGGTAAGAACCAACTCCCTCTGACCTCCACATCTACACGTGTACACACACATAACACCCCCTCCCACACACACAATAAATTTTTTAAAAAATAGCACTGGAGTCAAATTGTCTGCTTTAAGTCCTGGCTCTACAGTTTCCTAGCTGTGAGACCCTGCACTCCCTACAACTCAGTTTCCTCATCTATAGTAAGAATGATGACATTATTTAATAGCTCGACATATCAAAAAATTAAATTATATAATTGAGTAACAAGATTAGAATGGTACCTGATATATAAATTCTCAATAAATGATAATAAAAGTCAACTTCAGCCAAAACACTCAGGGCCAAAAGTGTCTGGAATGTGTGTATTTAGGAGTTAACGTATTCTGTATAGCACATGATGCCTCCCCAACTCACAGGGGAAAGGGGACCTACAGTCAAGGCAGAATGATAACAAGTTATTTCCTGAACTCTGTTGCATTTCCTGAAGTTAGTTTGGGGCTTTGTGCCTAGTTCTGATCAACAGCTGGGGACAGAATTGAGTTCTACACTCCTCCCTGGTTGGGGCATGTTCCAAGACAGACTGCCTACCTCAACATGAGTGAAGTGATTATGGAGGAAACTGTCTTCCCCCTCTTACTGGTCATACCATGTTAAGTCCTGAGATTTGGGATTTGTTAATAGATACAAGGTTTGTGTTGTCAAACGAGTCTGCAGCCTATAAAAAAACGAAATCCCTTTAAGATTGCAGAATTCTTATTATTTCAAAACATGAGGAATTGTGAACCTGTAAAAATCAAAATTCACACATCTACACATTGTTTTCCCCACTGCAATTCCAAACTTAACCTAGCCCTTATGTGTCTACATCAACTACCCTCTTAAACTAGTCTCCCTTCTCAATATCACTATTTTTATTTGTTTTTGTTTGTTTCTTTTGTTTTTTCCTAGAGGGCAAACCCAAGATTTCACACATACTAGGTAAAGACTCTAACCCTAGCCACATAG